AAGAGATACTGCCAGGACGCCCAGACCTAGACTGGAGAACGATTAGGGTCCTCATCCAAAGCCTTTGGCTCAAAAGCTTGTCCACAAGGCAGCGGGGAGGTAGCAATGACTTAGGTTTACAGAAATGGACGCCATCCCATTTCAAACCCACAACCTGGAGGACCAGGAGACTGAGTTTGTCTTACTTCTCATCATTGACCAACCCGGTAGGAGTAGCTCTCAAGGTGCCCGGATGCACCACCCAGTATAGCTCAATGAGTCAAAGGGGTACGCAAACCGTCGCACCACGTTAAGGTCCAGTCTCGTTGCGACGGAAGCGCATAGTGTGCAGGTGCGCCATATGGTGGATCAGTACCTGACCGGTTTCCAACAGCCGATCGTGATACGCGTCCGGATTGCGAACGATATCTGGGGAATGTGCCCGGAAGAATTAACGCAAATGACCCATAAGCTGGGCGATGAAGAAGGAACACCGTGAACGGGTGGAGCGGTTGGGCAGATTGGACCGCATAATGGAACAGCTTTCGTAAGATTCCATTGGCCCTAGCGTTTAGCGTTCGAAGGAGCGAACAAGAGGATGTTGCTTACTTTGTGAAAAGTTAGGACACTGGAAGCGACGGTATCCGCTGAGACGCGTTACCGCATACATCAAATAAACGTACTCTATGTTGTTCTTTATCTCGGGTCTAGGAATTTATACTCGGAGCGCTGAATAGGGGGCGATCGAAGTGATGGTGGAAGTAGATGGGCCAATGGAACGGTGTCTGGTTGACACGAGTACAACAGTGTCTCTGATCAGCCATCGGCGGGGCGAAAAACTTCAATCGTGCCCCATGGTCGTAAGGGTTGTCAGCAGTTACGTAGTGTGCATAAATGGCACAACAAAACCCATGGTGGGAATCAGGGGCGAAAACTAAGACACGTCCTCGCCAGGTCACTAGATATACAGCAAACCATATCGATAGCAGATTTCCTGGAGTCCAACAAGGCAATCTACCTAAAACTTGGGAGGTTGTTGACTGAAGGAACTGTCCCCTTGCACTAAGTTGTTGCCGCATTACAAGTGAGCGCGGCCTTTCAGTCACTTATCGTCAAGTACCATCTCCTGTTCACGGATGACGGCAGCCCGTATAGATTATGTGACTGGGTGGGGAACACCATTCTGCTAACCTGACAGAGGTATGGCTCACAGAGACATCGAAGGATACTAATCCATTTGTAGGCTGAGGTGAGGTATCAAGTACAGGAGATGCTAGATGCGGATGTGATTGAAAAGGCGACAGCATATACAGTTCCCGTTGTTTTGGTGAAGATGAATAACGGGACGTAACATTTCTGTGCGGAATTCCGAACTTTCCGTCTCAGTGCCATCAGCTGTAGACATTTTTGACAGACTGCCGCAGTTGAGGAGATTCTCAGTCTGGGATATGAGATTTGGATACCGGCAAGTGGCGATCAAACGATAAGATCAAGACAGCATATATAGTCTGTGAGAAATAATACCAAGTTAGAAGGATTCCTTTGGGAGCCCGTGCACCTTCCGACGTTTAATAGTGCGCTTACTGGGTGACTTGGAGAATGTGGCAGCATACGGGGGTGATTTCGTGCTGTGTAGGCATTCAGAGACGGAGCACAGCGGTTATCTCGAAGTTATCATGGAAGTGATTCAGCAATCAGGACTGAGTAAACACAAGCCGAAATCCCAGATTGGAAGAACTTCTGTGAGATTGCTGGGTCATAAAGTGGGACAAGATGAACCGAAGCCCCTACCTGAGAAAATACTGATAGCGCAATGCACTCTAGTCGCTATCTCAAAGCGAAACCTCAGGGTGTCGTGTCTCAGGGAATGCTAATATTCCCTTCAGGAAGCTTGTTTTGCTGCGCCAGTTAAGATGGCTCGGTCACGTCCTGCGTATGTCAACTGAGCGTTTGCCCTATCGCGCTCTGTTTGCACGTGCAGGACGCAACTGGAAGAGACCACGCGGTGATAAACCATCCATCTGGCGAAAGCATATGAAATCGTTGACTTCAGGTTTTGCCACCATTGGACCCACACGTCTACCTCGTTGGGGGCCAAAGGACAAGGAGTGCCGATGGCTGGAAATAATTCAGGATATGGCTCGCAATCGAAACCAATGGAGGATCTGTGTATACAATTGCTTATATATGGATACTTAATACTTACCGATTAAAAACCACAAAAAATAAAAAAATGGCGAATACAAAGAAAGCTCCGTTATTTTGTATTGCAGTACAGTAGCTGAAGTGTGTTGCTCATCTTCAGTTGATGTGCCATGATGACGATACGGTGTTGGACCTGTCTTTGTTTGGTGATTTCCATGGTTATGTTTGGCCCGGTGTCTGTTTAATAGACTGCTGCCAATACCACTACCCTCAGGGCGTTTCCGGACAGTGCAGGGTAACACAATAAGTTTATTAAGGTGTTCAACAATTTGGCCTCACTTGTACGAGCGCAGCTGAAACAAGCTAAGGAAATCATTTGGACTGAGGAAGCCCAATGGCATTTTGATCGCATCCAGCAATAAATGGAGAAACAGGAGCTGATTACGCAGTTTCTCACTGTTGGAGAAATGTTCACGGTGGCCATTGATGCCAATGATATCGGAGTCGACATAGATTTGAGTGTCAGGGGACGATTGAGTATGTCAGCAGAATTTAGACATCGGTGGAACGCAAATACAAATGGTGACCGTACCCGATAGATCAGCGATTTCATGTCGAAACGCACCACAAGCTTTGAAATAGATTAAATCCGGTAAAAACGTGAGGAGAAAACTGGTGGGGTGGACGCTGTGTCTCCAGGAATATGATTTCACGATAAACTATATGCCGAGGAAGCAGAATTGAACTTCGGATTCTTTTATCACGCAAGACGAACGAAGACTACCTACCGAGCGTGGTTTTCTGTAACAATGATATCACTTTTTGAGCAAGATCCAATCAGTTGGCAACCGAACGACGTAGCGATGAAATGCGGGGCAGTAGTCGGTCGAACAACTGAGACAAACTTTTTTGCAAAGTGATCACTGCACGAGTAATCTGTCAACCAGTCCTAAACAAGAGCAAGCACAGGCAGCTTGGACAATTGGCAAAAATTTGGTAAAGCTGCAAATAAATGTAGCGAGAATCTTGATGTGAATGCCATGAGGTAGCAATACCTCGGTGCCCGAGATTCAGACAATAAACAGGCGAAAGATGGTGCTTTATTGCCAGGAAACGGCACACACTGGTTGCAGCAGGACCCAAGGTTTGCTGGAACAACGCACAATCACCACCAGTCGCATATGGTCTAAGGACATTGAGAGAGTTAAAGCCGCGCTCTCCGATTACAAGGCAGGATTGTGATCTTTAAGGCTACGGGCCGGTGTCTAAACAGGCCTCCAAAAAGAAATCGTTGTTCCAATTGGTGTACGGTCTAGCACCTCGACTACTCGTGGATCTAGCGGCTGAATGTAGCCGATCTGCTGAATATCTCCAAAAGAAGCAGAAGGAAGCGGAAGCAACTCAAGCGCGAAAAATGGAGAAGTCCCAAATCAACAATGACAGACAGGAGGATGAGTTTCAAATTGGTTCAAAAGTAAAATGTAGAGACTGTGAACATCCGCATACCAAATGAAAGTGAAATCCTACCGAAGTGGAAGGAACCGTATGGGGTGGTGAAACGACGAGGTCCAGTCTATAAATCGCTCGGCAGAGACATTGAGGGTCGGTATATGCGAGTGAGATGAAGTTAAAGACGAAACCCATTCGCACAGTAAGGAGCCCCAAAGGTCAAACAGAAGCTGGGCGAAGGTAACGGAGGTGAGCACTTAGGAGAGGAGGGCCGCGATGGACTAAACGCAGAAACTACTGCGCCAATCGTCAGTAGTATGAATGGGTCAGCAAAACCAGACGGTAACGGGCCAATGGCTTGGGAGCCGCAGATGTATGTGCACTAAGAACAGACACAAAAACAGTGTGTGCCACGCAACACACAGAAGAAAGTTCGAAGATAAGTAGCACGGTTGGTGATCATAGTTGATGCATAAGGTTGATGGTGCGTGCCGCAATAAACAACTCAGTATATGCTTTGGTTTCTTGCATCATGAGGTTTTGCAACTCAGAGATAGCGTGGCTTAAGGCTCGAGGTGAAGAAGTATTGAGCCATTAGCCGAAAACGTGGTCAGTGACAGTTGGACTGGTTCGGTCCGTATCGCTCCCCAAGTTGGAGCCCGTGGGACCCACATTTCGCTCGACACCATACAAGACATAGCTCACAGTTAGTGTAGCAACTGCAGCGGTCTAAATAGATAAAGGTTTATAGTGTGCATGATGCTGCGTTATATGCAGTGTAATGTAGTCACCTCGCCAATGCGGTAGTATTCTCCCACAATACCCGTCACTATGCATTGTAAGCATTGTGTAAGTGCCTTAATCATGAGCGTTGCCCAGGATACCTAGGTCAAACATTAGGCTGTTCTTCCGCTAGAACTTCTCTTTATTGGGGCAATTATCGTGGTTGCATCGGTAAAGCGCTAGGGTATAAAGTATTGATAAAGTATCGCGGTTTGTGTTGTCTTCGGTCGGTCCACGAATCACTGCTACTGAAGGATAATGGTTAGATAGATAGATGTCTTCTGAACGCTACGAAGAAGTTGACAACTCTGGTTACAAATCTAATGGAGATCGGTCGTTCGACAAGGGTGGAGGTTCGTTGAGGCACAAGGTGGGACGATTCTGGGCTAAAAGCCCTGCGATGTAAGTACATCGGGATCAATGATTAAAATAGGAGAGAAAGCCTAAAAGTGTTGAACAACTCTGACCTAACTCGTGGTATCAAACTAGATAGCAGAAGTCAAGAACATTCCACCTAATTAACGAGCCGCGGCAAAAGAATCGTCATATAGCAAAATAAACTGATGACAATACGTCATTTCCTTACGAAGAATTGCAACACAGCAGAGAAATTAAATGGGTGGGATTGGGAACATAGCAGGTACCTTGTACACGACAGTCCATCCTTTCTCTCGAGCCACCGCAGTCTCCCGAGCTTCCTCCAGTAAATCGACGAACAACTGAGTGTTCCGGCCGAATGTTGTTAAAGTGACACTTTCAAACGGGGCCACATTCGCGCCTTGCATAGATTGCTGCGCACGGACACGCTCCACCCGAATCAGGCGGCCCATGTGGAACATGTAATGCACGCCGGTAGAGGGAATGAAATCGAAAGCAGCTCGAATGCGACCTCCCTCAGTACGAACCACATCCGTTTTTACGCTCACGTGTTGATTCACTCCTGTCCAGGTGCTTCGGCCAGTTCGGCCGAATGGGCTGCCGGAAGTACCGGTTACCGCACGAGTGGTGATCCACTGGAGTACCCAAGGATAGGCCTTGTCGTGGCTCGCCACTTCCAAGGTTTGAGTCAAATTGCGACGTAAAATGACGCCGGACACCTGACTGATTCGTCGTAGCACAGCCATTGCAAGACCAACCCCAAACAAACCAGCACCGGCACTAAAGTAGGGATTGTCCCGAAGTGCTGAGGTGAACACCTCATTGACAACATCCATAAGATGCGACTAACGATGCTGAAATTGTACCAGAAAGGAGATTACACGGAAAAATTTAAAAAGGAATGCATAAAAAGATGTACTGTGTTCGATAGCTGCAACAGCTAGCATGGTGCAGATATTGTGGGTGACTCAAGTAAGCACGGCGAGTGTGTCAGTGATCGCCATTTAGACACCGCTTCAAAAAGGCTGGGTGTCGGAAAACGCAAGAAAGATCGAATTCAATACGGCAAACGATGTTCATCGCACAAGAACACAGAGTAAGAATGACGAGTCAGAGATACGAACGTGTGTGACCCAACCAGGATTTGATGCAGTAGCTACAAAAGTGTGGGCGTTGTCAGTGGATCCCGGTTGAAGTTAAAAGAAGCACAATTCCAGGCACAGTAAAGGCTCCAATTATAAGCATGAAAAGGATAGGGTGTTAAGAATTTCAAGGACATGAACAACCGACTAATATCAACGAGGAGAACCACAGACCGCGAGAAACTGGTCCATACGAGTACGATAGACTTCCTGAGGCTTCCTTCAACCCCATAAGCAACGCATTTTCTCACAGAAAGAAGGTACGTAGTAAGAACGGAACTTGTTTATAAGCTAGATGATGACAGTAAAGTTAAAGTTAGGTTATGAACTATGCCAACAGAAGGTTCAAATCCCACAGGTTATCACTTCTCTCCATAACTGCTGTGGTAATAGCATAACCCATGTGCACATACATTGTAGTATGGTGAGATCAGCAAGGTGGTACTTGCAGGAGTTTGTGGTAGCACTGTACAGTCAACCAGTGGTATATCACGCGATCTCAACCGTCTAAATCGAGTATCATCTACCAATAGGATGAACAAGTGGGGAATATTGACGGCCAAAAACAGAAGGCTCTGTAATGTGTTAACAAGCCAAAGGGTATGTCAGTTTGGGATTTTTGATGTAATTTGAATATAATTCGCCTTGCAGCCTTAGACACATCTGAGGGGTACTTAAGTGGTCGTTTCGTCTCATTGGGACTCACGGGTAGTATGTATCCGCCTGCTCCACTAGGACCCGAACCACCGGCTCCTCTAGGAACCGAAACCATGACATCTGGATGCCAACAACTTATGCCACTAGGCAGCCGTGAGTGGCGCTGATAGGCCGTGATCAAAAATGCGCCCGAACAATTTCTAAATACTTAGATATACACAGCTGCTCTAAGGGAAGTAGAATCTTCACGGGCAGCTCTGTCCTACGCATAACTCACGGTCTGCATGAGTGGAGAATGAGTCGTGCTATTTCGTAGTTAACGGTCACGCTTGGCCTAGTAAAAGCTAATGATGTTAAAAAGTCAAGGGTTCGATTCCTGGTGAAGAGAGGGGTGGGTGCGCACGACAGACCGATTCTAATAGGACGAAATAATCGTATGCTGCATTTCCGGATGCGTGGGGGACTGCGTCGAAATGTCCGGGAATTATCGGGGTCGCAGGAAATATGTGTGTAACAGACGCAAATATATCCATGGGTGAATGATCCTGCGGTAATTTATGCTCCGGAGGTGGAGACAAGTGGCGATGCGGCAGATGAAGAATTCAGTGATTCCCTCCTAGCGAATGGCATCAGAGAGGTGTCAAAGAGCTGGATAGACCTGGCTCACTACAGCTACCAAATCAACGAACAAACCGTGGCGCTGGTAAAGAGATGAACGAGGATGCGTGCGATGGAATATAGCAGAACTGCAGAGATTGGGAGGCATTGGAGAGTAACTACTGCAACCAAAGTTGGCGAACCGTTAGCCATAAATCTGGAAACCGGCAGAAAGATGAGAGCGGAAAAGGATCCTTTCAGTCGCCTAGAGATATAGTACAACATGGGTACAAGAAAAATAAAACGGAGTACACTTAAACACAACCCATCAAGCCGCTAGTGATTGATGACTAAGTGATTAGAGAAAGATAAGAAACAGCTGAGGCCCATCGGGTTTATGGTTGACGGCATCCGGTTTCGGATTTGTCTGTCACTGTGGCCAGTCACAAGACGCCTGCGTTTACAGAAGGACCATGGGTGGCTTGCGCAAAACAAAACACCCACAGCTCCAATCACACACACCTCATATCCTGTGCAAACCAGAAGGAATAAGACCGGGAGGCATGCGGATGGGAACCACGTTTCATCAACGGAGCCGGCCCACACTCCTTCACAGGCAAACAAAAGCACGCTATAGTTGGGGAATCCAGCGCAAGGTCGTGGTTGGACCGCGCTCTGCTCCACAATGAGTGCATGGAACCATTCTTTGATCCTAACACGGCCACAAGGACCGTGCACCCCATCCCCTTCAGCAATGACCAACTGTCTACTAGAGCCAGTATTGACGAGGTAGTGGGTAATAGACAGGTAGGCACCTTGTCAACATGCACATAAAGCGCAGCCGCACCGGGGATATCAAGCAACAGCCAATCACTTGAAACGACGATAAAAAATAAAATAAAACGAGTAATGCATACAGACATGCCGACATAGTCCTTTAATAAGTGAGCATATGAAATAAATTGGTTGCCAAATTATCCGCTATAATTTCAAGACGTCAGAAAATATATATTAGGAAAATGCAACAAACGCGAAAACGTTATAAAAGCTAACTACCATTAACTTGGGAGACGTGTGCAAGTTAATAGAAGATAGTTCACGTAAGCAATGATGATACAATGTAGCAAACCCACAACCTGAATTAAAGAGACCCAGCATGCACGCAAGCGGTTAGTAAATCGAATGCAGCGTACCTACAAAAGCTGCACCGGTTCTGCCTACGTTCTCGGCAGGACCCGTCGTCGTTTCGTGAGTGGTCCCGAGTTGCCTCGCTCATGGCTCACTAAACCTGCCTGACTCAGGCTCTCGCGACCGCATGTGCTACAGCACCATGCGCTCGATGTCGATGGAGTACAACCTATCGGTCCTTGCCGCTTCTTCTCCGGGTTTATGGTATCTCAAAAATACACATACCGGATGCATCTATGCGATCAATAATGAATATGAGGAAATCACCGTACCAGAGTATCGTAAGATGGTTGGCATCCAGGCTAGACCAGCCTTCAGACAGGTTACAAATTGGCGAGTGTTGAAAAGATGAACATACAAGAGTAACAAATGTTTTCCAGAAACGTCTAATTGTTGTTAATCAATGGACTGCCGCTAGAAAGTCTGTTTTATCAGCACATACGTAACCAGCATAAAACAAGCATCCTAACTAAATCGATTCATCCAGAAAAAGATGGTCCACGCACTGCAACAACAGTGGCCAACAGTCACCAGAGGAGCGGATTTCGCTCAAGTTTGCCATGCGCCTTCAAGCACCGGACGCCCGTTATATATATATATATATATATATATATATATATATATATATATATATATATATATATATATATATATATATCTGTATGTTTCGCTGAGTGCCCCATGCTGAGGCTGATGTTGCATTCTTGATGCTACTTCACCACAGTTGGGCTAAACCAACTTACACTTAAACTAGCTCTTTTTAAGCTGGATAAATTTCATTCCGCTTTATTTGGTTTGTTCTGCCTCCCTGAATAATGTTCTATTAACTGGCCACGTTGCTTACACTAATTGCGCTTATCTTCGGTAATTTTGTTAAGTTTGTAGTATTTTAAGTAACTTGTGGACATTTCTTACTTATCACGGATTTGTTGCTAACCAACTTACTTCGTATGGTAATTTAGCGAAGAGTTATGCCACCGTATCTGTATGCATTATTGGATTTATTTTATTACAGCTTGTCGTTTAAAGTGAATGGCTGTTGTTTGATATCCCTGGCATGGTTGCGCTTGATGTGTATATTGACAAGGTGCCTACCTGTCTATTACCCACCACATCGTTCATACTGGCTCCAGGAGACAGTTGGTCGTTGCTGGAGGAAACGGGGTGCACGGTTCTTGTGGCCGTGCTAGGCTCAAAGAGCGGTTCCATGCACTCAGTGTGGAGCGGACTACGGTTCAGCCACCGTCTAGTGTGCACTTGATTCCCCAAATACAGCGTGCTTGTGTTTGCCTGTGAAGGAGTGTGGGCCGGCTCCGTTGATGAAACGTGGTTCCCATCCGCATGCCTCCCGGTCTTATTCCTTCGGGTTTACACTGGATATGGGGTGTGTGGATGGAGCTGTGGGTGGTGCAGCGCAAGCCACCCATGGTCCCTCTGTAGGCGCAGGCGTCCTGTGGCTTGCCACAGTGACAGGCAAATCCGAAACCGGATGCCGCCAACCATGTTTCGCTGAGGCTGGTGGTGGCTAGATCCTGACAGATGATCTACCCACTGCTGCTACTGTTGTGCCATGGACTCATGTCCTGGACGTCTCCGTGTGGTGACCGCTGGGTGCGAGCTGGGTTACCCTCATCTTCCTGCTAAGATCTAGCACACCAATCTGCATGAGTCAGTGAACTGACCATGTGCTAGACCCGCTGCCTTACGGGTGTTCATTTAATCGAAGGCTTTGGCTGAGGACCCGAGTAGTTCTCCTGTCAGGTGTGGGCGCCCTGCCAGTATCCTAGTCCATCCTCCTCGGAGATTAGGAAGTGGTCGATGGCCCACTTCCCGTAAAACCTAGCCTTGGGAGACAACAGATCTACGGGTTACAACTT